ATTCTTACAACTCTATATAACGCATGAAATGGAAAATAAATTTTCAAAAATGTAAATAGTATAAAACATATATATAACCATATACTTTCTATATTATTAATTATATATAAAATCAATTAAACTCACCAGATAAATCTGACGTTATTAACGGTGTTTTTCTAGGACGACCACGTTTTCGTTTCTGTGTAAGTGACTGTATGTCTTCATAATTAGTGAAACTTTTAAGGACATGGGGCACGGTAGCTGAAGAAGGTACAATATTCATTTCAAGGTCGTCTTCACTTGTGAGATCGATAACAATGTTTTTTGGTGCATTATTACCACCAACATGAAATGTAGATCGATGACCATTATGTTCACCTGTTACAAAAATTAGTTACCACATATATATGAAATTAAATAAAATTTTAAACTAAAGCAATTTTATGTAGAATTATAAATTAATAATTTAAATAAGTGAAAAACATACCATTTGGAACATCAGACGACACATAAATTCTATTTGTATTTTGCAGGACAGTAAAAGAGGATCCAATCGAAGGAGATGTGTTTATTTTATCTACAATTATAACGCAAAAGATTAAACATTATGTTTAATAATAATAATAATAATAATAATAATAATAATAATAATAATAATAATAATATATAAAAAGATTATGTTTAATTGGATGTAAAATATATAAAGCATTGGACTATTTTCCATAAGCCATTACAATACTTTAATAAAATTAGCCCAAAAGAACATGGGTTGTAGGCTTGTTGCAAATTGGAAAAGTGTCCAATTTTGACTATTGGAATTGGGCCGAATTTGTAACTTCCAAATTCTAAGTATTGTTGTTAAGTCGGCCCATTATTCAAATTTTAACAGTTCAGTCCGAACTGGGCCCAATACACATCAAAAAATATGGCCCATTATCATTTGAAGTTGGTCCATAAACAACTATGCACCAATCGGACGGCCTACATTCATTGCAATCGATCTAACGGACATAAATAGAAGTTTCCTACTATAAAAGGCACAAAAATCCGATAACTTAGGGTTTACACCATTTTTTCTCTTCTCCGACACGCGTCTCTCCTCCTTCTCTCCTCATTTCATTCTTTTTGATATCTTGTGATTTTTTTTTTTCTGCAGATTTTGAACAAATAATCTAAATCAAACGATTACACATGTTGTAATTCGTTTGTTTATGTTTAGAAACGTAGTTCAAACTGCAAAATCTGGATTTTGTTTTTAAAACAGTTCTGTTTCTTTATTTTTTTTTCTTTTTCTGATGTTTGTTTTGCTATTATTATTTATTTTGTTGGATCTTAACTCGATTTGTAAGAAAAAAAAAAGATTTGTCGAAAATTTATTATTGTTTATTTACGGATCTGGTCGATTTTTTCGATTTCAAGTCGAAAAAAAATGAAACCGGAAAGGAATTAATTTTCGATAAATTTTATGTTGATTTGTGTGTAATATTGATAGATCTGGGCTAATTTTTCGATTAAACTCCAGATCCCTTAAATTATGATAAAAAATTATTATTTATTTTTTTGGATCTTAGCTCGATTTGTAAGAAAAACAAAAGATTTGTCGAAAATTCATTATTGTTTATTTACGGATCTGGTCGATTTTTTCGATTTGAAGTCGAAAAAAAATGAAACCGGAAAGGAATTAATTTTCGATAAATTTTTTGTTGATTTGTGTGTAATATTGATAGATCTGGGCTAAATTTTCGATTACACTCCAGATCCCTTAAATTATGATCGAAAAATTTCGATGAAACTCCGGAAAGGAAGTCATTCATTTACGAAATAACAAACTGGTTGGTTTTTGTGAATCGATTTGATTGATCTGCTGTAATTTTCTCGATTCAACTCCAGATCCTTTAAAATATTCAAGAAAATTATTGAAGCCGAACCGGAAATCTCTCGCTTGTCAATTAACAAACAATTTTCGAAATGCTATGTCTTTCATTTACCCAATACCAAATTCGTTGAAAGGAATTTTACTTTAAATTGAAAATCACATTTCAATTTAACTTGGTATTTTTAATGATTTTTTGTTTTAGTTTTAACCGAGCCTTTATACAACAATTATTGAAATGCTATGTCTTTCACGCATTGGAGCTCTCCAGAAATGATTGTTGGTAATTATTTTATCAATTAACATAACAAATTGGTTTCGAATTTGTTAAATAAACTACCAGATCTGTAAATTTTATTAAAATAAACTACCAAATCTGGTTTGAGTTTTTGTTAATGTTTTCAAATTCGAAAGTATTGTGTCGAGTGGAATCCTAACTTTTGCTTCTACTCGTGGATTCGCAATTTGGTTGTCAGAACCGTGCAAGGTCAGGCGGCAAGCATAGGAGCTGAGATCAAAAGCGAGGTGGAGTGAAGCAAGGTCTAAGGTATGATAACAGTACTCTATCATTAGATCTTTGAAACATCCATAAGAATCTTGTTTGTAGAAAATCCTGGAGTATGAACATGTTGTATTCTTTAAAAAAATTATCATATGATTATATATATATATCATTGAATTGTAATAAGAAAAGAAACTTGTTGAACTATATGGAGAATGAACAATTTGTCGATTGTTATTTGGTATTTAACTGAGGTATATGATGGTGATGTAATTTGAATGATTATTTTTTATAATCAATTTGGGTTGTTACTGTAATGCGTGTTGGAACATCTTTAACTGCAATTATGGTGTTATCAAATTGTAACTGTTTGATGGCAGTCCTATTTTAAGAATAATAGTGTTATTCGTATGATATACTTTGATAACTTTGGGCATAATTTGTTGTATGCTGAAACCATGAAAGTTTGACAGCCTATGCTGAAGCACATAGAATCATAACCTAAGAAGTTGAAAATACATTTATTGTTCCCCTGTTTAAATATTAGTGTTATTGTTATGTTGAATAAGGATAGGCTTATTTCTAATTAAATACATTCATGTTTGTAAACAAATAATGGCATCTTATAACTTTTGTTAGTTGATTAAACAGTTCCAATTTGACATATAAACTATAAATACTATACTGGCCTCAAAAGATTATGTGTAACTTGTTGTTTATATGCTTTGTGATTGTTCTAACTGATACTTATTAATGATTATCATATAGTAAAGTTTAATCATGATGCCATTGTATTTTTCTAACTAATACTTTATTAATGTATGATGGAGCATATATAATGGTTTGCAAACTGGGATGTCAAAGATGCAAAACAGGAACATTGAAGTGCTGTAAATTACAAAGGAAAGTTGTAAGTATATTTGATATGTTTTATATTGTTTTATTATAAAATTCATATTCTGTGAATAATATAATTGTAATATTTTGTTTTTTTTTTTTATTGCATTGATGTGAAGCAATACATATGCAAGGAGGAGCATGACTCGAGCTTCAAGGTGATTGAATAAAAAAGGTACTCTTTCACATTAAACCAAGGTCAATAATATATAAATCATAAAACTATCAAATCATATCTCTAACTGCAATTTATTTTTCTTTTATGATTTCAATCTCCAAGCACGATGCTGACAGTTTTGCTACAATCATGTTGGTAAGAAAAGGTAAACCCTACTTTATGTGTACCTTTTTGGTTCTGGATCATTCGTTGTTTTCTCACTGTTTTGTCAACATCTTCTCTGTCTCTAAAGCTCTCAACCCCCATCTCCTTCATAACTTGAATGCTTTGATTGCTACTTGCATCATTGTTGCTTTCAACTACCTTCTTCTTCATAACTTGATTGTTTTTATTGCTGCTTGCGTCTATATGCTCTCAATAGATGTGTTCATGATAACTTGAATGATTTTTTTGCTGCATTCGTCTTTGTTTCTTTCAACAACTATGTTTGGGTTGTTTTCTAAGAATAAACGTGTCAGTATGTGTTGAATTATAGGAGAGAATGTGATGTTTTGGAATGAATATAATAGATATTAAATATCTAAAGGATGGCTGTTTTAGATAAATATCATCTATCATATGCCTTATCTTGTAGCTGTACCAAACAACAAATAGTATTTTATCTGCTGTGTGGATAAATATGAATAACAACTTGATAATGAACACGTGGACTATGTTCTATTATTTTAATTGTTTTAATGACTTAAAAATATCTGTGTACCACTCATGTTATTGTTATTTAAAATTAATTTCCATGAGATAGATGTTTATGCCACTGAATGATATTTGTTTGAATAGATGAAATAATATTCGATTCTAGTACATCGTTATTTCTTTATCCTGCTTCATACTTAACTCTGGCATGAAAAAAAATTACAACATAAATACGTGCTGTTGTTTTTTAAATATATGCTTCTAATTGCATATTTGTTTTTATATAATTTGATTAATGTTGTTGTGTTACGTTTTACTCAGATTGTTTAATACTGATTTAAAATAATGTGTTAATTATTTAGATGGTATTGGTTTGAATCTACTTTATTTAGTTTTTTAATATAAAGTAGTGAATGTTTGATAACCTCATAGCCGGGTACTGACAGGTAGGCTAAAAGTATTTTTCAATTCCAATATTATTGTTTTTTCTCCACGTAAACATATAGCCAGTTATTAATCCACTTATTAAATGGTAATTGTAAAAATATGTTTTATTGTCTTTTTTTAGTATAAATTGGTTAGTGGTCGCGATTTATATATTAAAATAGATTTAATTTATATATATTACTACTATTATATACTCATTATTAATGTAAATACTTTAATAGGCAAAAAAAAATCTAAAAAATCTAAACAATTAAATAACTTAATAATCAACATTATTAATAACCGACAATATCCGATATAAAAATCGAACAAACCGAAGTCCCATAATAAATCCTAAATCCGAACCATAACCAATACTAAAACAGAACGTTCAATAATAAATCCTAAGTTACTCTTGTTGGCGATGCCAACTTATTCAATCGAAGTACGCAAAGCAAATAAAATGCTAATATAGTAATATAATACTTCAAACAAATAACCATATCCTAGCCACTAAATTCTTTTGCGAAGTTGTCTTTCATTTCATCATCTTGCTCGGTCACCTTTGCTTTCCCCTTGTCTGCAGTGGTTGACTGAGCAGCAAATCCTCCTTCATCTTCAAGTGAGTCCATTAGATTTTTCTTTGCATTTGAAGTCTCGCCGACCTTCTCTTTACCTTTGAGAGACTTCACAGGTGTTGACACCTCTTCTTCACCAATTTGATCCTATTAAAAAATTTATGAAGTCCAAGTATTAGAATTTGAATTAAATATAATAATTTGGCTAAAATAATTTTGCTATATAGATGAAAATAGTTTGATAAACGATCATTGACCTTCCCATTGTTAGCCTCTTCACGTTGACATAAAGTCAAGAAGTCCGAATCCTATAAAGTTCAATAGAAAGTTAGTGTGTTAATAATATTTAATCATAGTTCATTAATTAGGTATTGTTATTCTTTTTTTGTTTATTATACTTACTTCTTTCATGGTAACCCACTGACTATACTTAGATACCAAATTTTCATCAGCAATCATCCTCACAACAGAAAATGCTGATTCTACTCCCTTGAAATTACACCTGTTTTGTCTAATTCGCACCTTAAACAGATATGATTTGTGAATCATATTGTCTATTTCGTCGGGCAGTTCAATGCTTGTAGAATTCTGCCAATAGAGACAACAATATGAATTATCTAGTTTTTTGTTAAAATTTTTAATGTAAAGTATAATTAAAATTAAAAGAACGAACCTTTTGAATCATATCACGTCTCAATGCATCACATGGCCTACCAATTATAGGTTCGCATTCATTATTCCATGCAATTAAGGTTGCAGGAGCCGTATTGTCTTGGACACCAAACTGAATCTTGTAGCTATAGATACAAAAAATTTTACTTATCAGAAAAATTATTTTATGTTATTTAATTACTATTACTCAATAAACATTGATAATTGTTTTTACCGATAAATTCCAAATTTATGACCACATTTGCTGCAAGTAAACTGTCCATGAACCTCCTCCATTTTGCTTGTGCATTTTCTGCATGAGTGGTACCACCACTCATCTATAATTGACTCCACGGTAGCACATATCCAAACATCGGTCTCCTACATTTATAAATTTCATCAATAATTTTTTGAAATAAAGTTGGCACATATATATATGTATTTATATTTACCTCGGCAGTAGCAAATAGTGAGTCAACAGCACTAACTACAACATCACCATCGGCTAACTCTTGTAGTTCAAATTTCACAATTATAGCACTCTTTGAAATTAAGCGGGCCCTTGAAAGTGGGCCGGCAGCAGCCCTAATAAAATTTGAAAGAACATTTTTTTAATTGTCTATTATTATACAAAAAATTATTGAATATTAAATAATATAATTGTATTTTTACCTATTGACAAAGTCCACAATGTCTGGAATATTTTGTCCAGTAATTAGCCTTGTGATATCCTTTGATGAGGTAACTTGCACTTTTTCTGTTTTTTAAGAAATAAAATAAAGTAAGTATTTATAAATTTATTAATTATTATAAAATTTGAAAACATTAAGTTTTATTTACCATCCCATTCTCTTGAACGCGCTAATTGAATTATCAAAGGCCAAGGATTGCCATTGTCGGCAAGCTGATTCTCATAGTTGAGGAATTGATCAACATATGTCCCCCATAGAGTGCAAGGCAGAATGATTCCCCTAATTTCAATTCGAAAAAATTTATTATCATAGATAATAATGTAAATATTACATAATACTATTTAAAATGTGATAATATGTGGGTGTATGTTCTTACTCCGGATCCATTAGTGCGAATGCTATCATGCGAGTTTGTACTCCTTTGACGTTCTTCATTTGAACGAAATGTATCTCGACCACCATTCCAATGATATCTAAACATTTAGTAAATTAAATGTGAGAAAATGTATTAAGCGTAAATAATAAAAAAAAAGATTAAAATTTAGTTACCAAAGAGCATTGATTCGTCGATTTTCTCGATATCAATCAATGTGATGAACCTTCGAAAGTCGAAACGGAAAATTGGAAAGTCAACCTTGACGGGTATGTGCTCTGTTCTACCATGTAGTATAAGCCTGTATTGGGCAATGGTAGATCTATACATTCCGATGTTACTCTCAACTTGATAGTTTCGGAATGCATAAACAGCGCCTTCTTCGAATTCATCCTTGAAAGTTGGGATGTTGATTGCTCTTACTATCCCCGTTATTCGACCGCCCTAAAGAAACAAAATAAAAAAAATTAAGTATTGTAATTAGCATGATGAGAAAAAAGGATAATCAATATTTTTTATTATGAATTGAACCTCATTGTCATGAAAGACAATTTCAAGAAGGTTCTTGTATGATGAGTATTGATTAGTCCTTAAGAAGACCCGAACGACTCTCAACTTAAGCATCGGCCTGTTGGTTCTTGTTATTTGCTTGATGTTCCCCCATGCTTTTCCCATTTTTTTGTATTTATGTGAAATTGTTTTGTGAGATTTTTGTGTACCGTGATTTGGGCTCGTAAGTTTATTTTATAGTCATGGATTGATAGTAGATAACCATTGCATGATAAGATTAGTTACTCACGTTTATCTGTTTTGATAAGAATCACGTGATTTCTTAACACGTATGGACACAATTTTTTATCATGATAAGATTAGTGAAAGTAGTTACGAAATAGCGATTTGTTTGTGATAGCATCACGTGATTTTAATTAGAGTTTCAATAAAATGAGACTCTAATGTCAAGATAAGATTAGTAGTAGTTTATCATATTCTTAAAACGTGTGTACCCAAGTTTTTTATGATGATATGATTAGTGAAAGTAGTTATGAAGTAGCGATTCTTTTGTGATAGAGTTCCAATATTAGTTCACGTGATTTTAAGTAGAGTTCCAGTAAAATCGAAATCTAATGCCATGATAAAATTAGTAATATTACTTTATCAGATTGTTAATAATTTGATATGTACTAATGTCATCACGTTGAATAAATACGAAATGCCATCTTTTATGTCAAAATTTTATTAATGTTAATTTATATATGACACAAATTATATATAACAAAAATTATTGTAAATATGATAATCCACAGTTGAATCTATAAATTATTGAAAAATCACGCAATATAATTTATATATCTACTTAATCTCTAATGTCATAATCTTTATAAATAATTCAGTCTTCCACGTAAAAATTTTATTTTTATTAATAATAATTTATATATAACACAAATTAATGTAAATATTATAATCACATTTCGTATTCATATTTATGTAAATCGACATTTGAATCCATAATTTATTTAAAAATCACGCAATATAATCCATTCTGAACTTTTGTTAATTCCGTAACCTTTATTTTATATAACCTTATGTTTGAAATATTTGGTTAAATTTGTATTAATTTATATCTTGTATCATGGAATTCTAACAATTATAAACTAATATAAAATAAAATGTTCAAATTTTATTTTATGTGCGACATTTAATAAAAAAATAAAAATATTGAACTGTGAGAATCTATTAAATAATAACACTAAAATTTATTATAGAATTCCGAATTGAACGACATGGAATGAAATTACAATTCATAATAATGAAACTCTAAATATCATAAATATTTACTCCTCTTGCTAATGTTGAGGGAGAATATCTTCATTTTGAGGAAAAATTCCATCGTATTTGATAACATGAGTTCTTCCATGAAGCACAAGTTTCCATTTATTGGTTATGATATCCTTCTTCCCATGATTAAATTCAACGACATAGTTGCTGATCGTGTAAACCTCGCCTTCGTTCAGTACACCTCGAAATGTTCCCATATGTTTGGAACGTATTATGCCTTTAATAAATGTACCCTACAATATAAATTTATAAATATGAATTAAAATATTTTTTAAAATTGTATACATTTAATATTGCACAGTAATATATTTACCTTTTCATCATGAAACAGTATATGGTATGCATTCCAGCTCTCCTGTTGGTGATGCGTTTCAACTATAAGGACTGTTTTCAAGTGCAAAGAAGGCTTGTTTCTCCTACTCAAGGAATCGAGGGTATTGCAGGCTGGTGGCATTATATTATCGATATGTTCTTCAATGTATCTTTTTTTTGTTATCTGTAAAATTTATGTATGTTTTTTTCGTTCTACGCAAAGTTTTTTTTCCTACTCGTGAAGTTTTTTTTTTTTCTATGCGTGAAGTTTTTTCTCTTATGTGTGAATGACGTTAATTCATTTGTTGTGTAATTATATAATGATAATTATGGAATTGTGATACATACTTATCTCTTTAAATGACTTATCAACTCATGATATTTATCCCAATAATATCTCTAACTAATTTACTTATCAATTCACGTGAGTTTTGAATGATTTTCATGTATTAGATAGATTTGAATTTGAATATGAATTTTATCCCAATAATATCTTTATCAACTCATGATATTTATCCCAACAATATCTCTAACTAATTTACTTATCAATTAACGTGACTTTTGAATTAACGTGACTTTTGAATCATTTTAGATTTGAATATGAATTCTAAATATAGAATGTCAATGTTTTTTTTTTTAGTCAAAAGTTTCTAAAAATGTATTTTACCAACAACCTTATTATATAAGATAGATATTATTAATATAATTAAATAATATTAATCAATAATATTTACACATTACATCAACTTTAATCTAATATTCATTCACTCACATAATTTTAACTAATCATCTCTTCACATTATATCTCTCATACCTTATTTATTTATTTTATTTTAAATACTATATAAATATAAACTCAAATTCACATTATATTTCATACTTTACATTAAATTAATTTTATTTATTTTATTTTAAATATTATTTTAATATAAACTCAAAATCTCTAGCAACAAAACATAAAATATATTTTTAAAATTAACCATTATAATCAAAACAACTTGTTTTAAACGAATATATTTGTATCTAAGTACGTCCTAAACTATCAAGGATGTTAACTGAAAGATGGGATTGAGCCGCAGGAGAGAGAAGTGGGCTGGGTATGTAACACATAAATTCTTGCGAAAAAATTATTCCACTAACGATCTCCTTGTATTTTTATTGCATATCTACTACCTCTTTAACATTATTAGCAAACATAACAAAAATCAAATATTTATTTGCTCATAACTGTTTCCTTTTTTCCTCTTAAGTGTGGGTGCGTTTTTGTTGGACAGTGTTTAAATAGACTGTGACATTTCTCTGCAATCAATTAATGGGAGAAACCAGAGCACAACGCCGCCGTCGACCTTCAAAACGCCGCCCTTCTTCGTCGGCAGGAAGAACGAAAATGGCACAGTTTCCCCTCTACGACTTCGACCGGTCCTGTTCGAGATTTGGGAAAAATCAAGAGTCCCAGTCGCTGCGCCTCCTCGATTTCTCGCTTTCGGAGAAACTCTGCGGCTCCGCCAAGTTCTTCATCATCACCGGCTCCTCGATCAATTGCTTGTTTTCATGAAGATGCGCATATTTTTTTTTTCTTTTCTGCTTTTTTCAATAATTTGGTTTATTTAAGCGTTTNAAAAAAAAAAAACCGTTCAGATGATGTCTTAGTTTTGGTTGAATTTTTTAGGGCTTTGGACTGCTTGTAGACCATTGATATCTGCAGACTTTGGATTGGAGTCGCCGAGATTATTTACAGTTTGCCGAGAAGGCTGGTGATGGTAACGGAGTATAGTTTCATTATACAAATTAGTTTATAATTAGTATATGTACAGTATATATATAGTATATGTACTTCTTAGGGATATGTACAGTTATTGTACATTTTAGTTTATGTTTGGTATATTAATTTATGTACAAATTAGTTTGTGAATGGATGTTTGTTTTTTCTGTTTTCAATGTTTATTCATAGTTTATGTTTAGTATATTAGAAGATTTTTTTTTAAAATGAAATTGATAAAGGAACAATTTGTTGTTTTGGTATATTAGAAGATTATTGCAACATTTACCGAATCAGTAACTTGTTGTAATATGTTTATAAACTATATATATACCTTTATATTGCGTTTTTTTGTATAAACTACATATATACTTTTGTATATGTTTATAAACTATATATATATATATATATATATATATTTAGTATATATATATTGCGTTTTTTTGTACAAGACGGACATTGAAATATTTTTCCCTATATGTTGTGGTTATAGTTAGTATATTTTTAGTATATATATATTTTTTTTTAACATAACATGTAATAACTCGGTTTATACTTGGTTTATAATTTGTAACAATTTATATAACATATAAGTATATATATATATAGAGAGTTTTATGTTTTTTATTTCCCTATCGAATATGCAACCCCAAAATAAATAGTTTTATTAATTTTTAAGTAGTATTAATAGATAATTTATAATAAAAAATAAAATTATTTTTTATTTTATATATGCAATATAGATGTCAAATCAAACCTCGTCGAAAGATAATTAATTCGATATATTATATATGAAAAATTGATAACAAACAAAAAAGTTATTAACTTTTAAAAATTGTTGGTTTTTTGTTACAAGCAAATTTTTAAAAAATGGATATGAGTGGATATTGCATCTGTTCTTTTGGGTAAACTATTTTTTCGCATTCAACTAATTAATTCATTTGATTTCGTGTCAATGCTAATATTTTTTACATGATTATATATGTGCAATATTTTGATATTCCCGTAGCAAGCGTGTAAATTGGCCTTCAATTCTTGCTGAAACTGATAGGCACGTTATATATTTTTAATAAAAATATATATAATTATATTATAACATATCGGGCGAATCATTAATCCCTTGCCTCGGCCTTGGCAAGGATTTCACATTTTTTCGGAATTTTTGTAGAGGTGCGGCGAGGCGGCGGGAATTGGAAAGAGAGTAGGAGAGACAAGGGTAATTTTTAAAAAAACAAAATACAGGACAAAAACGTAAAGAGGGGGCGGTGCGTAGTAATTGGACGGCATTTAGCAATTCACGAATATCAAAAGTAAATTCTTTCTAATAAGAGCATTTAGAGAGAATAAATTTGTATTGCGGCAGCTGAACGAAATTTTCCAGCATTGAAACAAGAATCCCAATCGTGACAAGATAGATCCAATGCAGAGTAACAGAACGGAAATAAATAAAGTTCTCATAGCTGTGACATATTAGGATCTTGGTGAGAATGTAAGCAAACGTAGATTATTTTGTTTCTGACTATGCACACCATATTAAGGGGAATCCATTTCACAACCTCTTCCAAACATGGACCAAACAGTGTCAAGCCAACTTGACGGAAAATGGAAGAAACAATATTATCTCAACTTGAGTGAAACTGAAGCCATTAGTAGAATGGAAAAATGATCTCATAAATTCGACAAATTACATCTCATCAATGTAAACGATTTTGCAACAAACACAAATTCACAACACCACCAGAAAGACAATCAACATAAAAATAACCACACATGTATACATAAACTTATACAAACAAGATATACAAGGTGTAACATAGTTCTTCCATGTGTAGAATGCCCCCCATTCTTTTTTCTATCATATAAATTAAAGCCAATTCGTATGATTAATCTAAAGCCACACTAAGCGGGCTGGATATTCTCATACTTAACTTTGTGGAAAATCGGTTGTGTCATCTCTTGCGCAATTGTGAGCCTTTTGCAACAGCCTTCATATTCTGTGAATCTTTGAAGCAAACAAAATGGACAATAGTCTTCCCATTGGGATAAACTGCAAAGACGCTAGTTCCTATCTTCTTGTTGCAAAGGGAGCACATAGTATCACCAGTAATCTTCACGACATTTTTCCGTTGAGTGTACAGTTCATCTTTGACCTGATTGCCAGTGTACCAGCTATCAAGGATTAATAGTGAAATATACACCTTAAGATAAAGTAGTTCATAATTCAGGTATCAAAATTGCAAAGAAGCGAGATTAATAATAATAAAACCAAAAAAGTAACCTCTATTTAACTTAGATCCACCCAGTTCCATCCTTCAAAAAAAGAAAACAGATGGGGAAAAAATGATATATTACAAGAAACAAAATATATGAATGCTTCGCCAAAGAGTTGCGAGCCAACTTTCAAAATCATCTTGTTGCTATGGAAAGTAATGCAATCCATACAGTGAGGCATGTTGATATGAAACCCATCCTGGAAAACAATGTCGTAGCACGAAGATTTCAGTTTAATTGACATTCTAGGCCAAACTGACGTTACAGATACGAATAAGAACAGACATGGATGGAGCATAGCAGTTGCAAGTCAGCTCAAAAGGTACATATTCCAGAAGACAATCCAAATCTCTGGTGTTTAATCTTCTGTCATGTAGATCATTACACAATTACACGTCATGAGTTTATTGATTCTATCATTCTACACATTATGCAAGTATATATATCAGGCATGTAATGGGATGCTGAACATCATGGAAAACTTTATAGTGATATTGGGATCCAGCTCCCCCAAAGGAAACATACCTGTAGGTTTTCACTCTCTCTCAAACTCTTTATCACAGAAAAGTTCCTGTAAGCTTCACTGGATTTCCTCAAAAGTGGTCCAAGAAAAGGAAGTAGGTTCTGCAGTGAGTATAAAACAAGTATTCCTTCACTCAGGCTACCCAAAACCAGATTACATTCTTATATCTAAGTACCTACATCTATCTAACAATGGAAAAACTTTAAATAATGGAGAAAATAAAAAGATCCAACAAAAGAAACAAAGGAACAACCTTTAGTTTAGTTTCCTTGGGAAGTAGTCTTAAGGCCTGCGCTCCATTTATTCGATCCCATCTTTGGCTCAACAAATCAAGGACCCTATCATGCATAATAGCAGATGATCCTTCCTCAACGGCATCATCAGTATCACCATCACTCTTTCCACTGTCTGTGCCACTTTGGCTGAAGCGAATCTCATCAGCACCCTCAATTTCTGCAATTTTCTTCGAGAGGCGATTTCTATTCTTACCGGCACCGGAAGTAAGTTTTGGGGCTCCAGGGCTTCTAGCAGATACCAGATTGGTGATTCTTTTTTCAAAGTTCTTTGTTGTCTTGTGAGGATTCAAATATATTTGCAGTAGCATGAGGTATATGTTGCTGTAAGCTTTGGCTGACTGTTGAAGTCCAGACTCATATACCCGATCACAGTACGACAGGGCCAGTTCAGGAACATTAAGCTATAATGACACAGAGGAGAAAGACAGAAGAAGGTTAGCATAAGTAGCTGTAAAGGAAGATACACAACTATATGTGAACATTAACATACATATGACATCCATTAACATCTTTCTTCATTGCCTAAAAAGTAGATTAGAATACATTGTAAATATATAGAATAGAGGTATTAGAAAAGGATAATTATGCTCCATAAGTATGAAATTTGGTTACTCAAATTCATCAGGTACGACCGGCAACTTCTCTGCACATATACGACACTTCCTTTTGTTATGGACCTTTTGTTCTCTTGTACTGAAGTTATTCCAGCATTCTTATCCTGGTGACTTCTGGTTCTTTGTTGGTCGTTTATTTTTTCAGCTTTTTCTGGCGTTCAATTATATTTAGTACGGTAGAAAGATTGATTTTTCGTGTTCTTTGGACCAGGTCTCACAGGATAATATTTTTGGTGTTATTTGGTATTCTGGTTTGTTGGTAACCTCAGTTTCTTTTGTTTTGACCTCTGGTATTGTGCCACATGGCTGACTCAATGTCCGCTGATAATCCTGGTCATGAACAAGATCACAGACACAAAACTTAATGGCCTAATTATACTGGCTGAAGCAAAACAATACTGGTGCATTCACATATCACCGATATGGATGATTATTCTGATCCACCTAACAATGATACTGAAAAGACTTGGCTTCGATATGATGCGAAACTAATGGTTTAGATTCATAACTCAATCGAACCTGACATTCTTGGCCCAGTAAATCACAGTGAATTTGTAAAGGAACTTATAAACTATCTTGCCTTCTAGTATTCCCAAGGACACTACAATTTTCCCCTCATTTATTCTGTCGGCAGGTCATTCCATTGAGGCAAGCAACATGATAAATTCCTATAGCCTATGTTATGGAATTCAATAAGGTGTACGGGAGTTAAATACTGTAATCCCTCTCAGCAAAGATCTGCAAACAATGCAAAAGCAATATGAGCAAATAGTTATTATGAGCTTCATTCTTAACAGGGGTTGAATCTAGAATATGACAACTTCCAATCTCAACTTTTGTCCGAGTCTGTCATTCATTCTCTCTAAGAAATCTTTGATATTTTCTTTGGATGGAAGATCTACAAGCACCTCAGCCCACCCTTGCTTCGAGTGCTCTTGTTAGTCGTGGGGGCTTTCGTGGTAGCCCTCGAGGGGCATTTGGTGGTGGAACCTATGAAGGATATGCAAATGTTTGAAATTCTGATTTTGAAAATTTGGAATTATATTTATTGAAATTGATAAACGGGCCTAGGTACTTACATCCAGGGAGTGAATTATCTAGGTTAGGTTGCTAGATTTGCCAAACAACTAGATAGAGTGGGGGGGCAAAGAAAAGAGTCACTCCCACTCGAAGAAACCCAGAATATAGAAGAAGTAGCTCATCCCAAAATACTAGCTCAAAGGGAGTTAACCACACTTATAAACAATAACAGCCGAATAATTAATTGATGTGGGACAAACATAACTTCTAACACTTTCCCTCACTCTCGCAACGTGCCAAGTTGGGGATCCAAAACCAACATCACCTCCAAACAAACAAAAACCTGAGTTCTCTGATACCATGATAAATGTAGCCAGAATTCATCCCTAAAATCGAGCTGAAAGGGCCACACTTATACACAATTACAGTCCAATTACTAATTGATCTGAAACAAAAATAACTTCTAATAGTCATGACCACAGGTCACACTAAGTATACTTGTCCGAACCTAGGTGCAAAGAATCAAATAAATCGTTCGGCTCATGCTGCTTCATCTTCATTTACCATCTCGGCTGAGGAATATGCCTATCTTAATGAATTTGTTTCAGCTGAGGAATATGCCTGTCTTATTGAATCTGTCTTGCTGACAATGGTAAGTTCGCGACGTGTCTTGTGTCTAATGTTACAAACTGGATAACTGATTCTGATGCTTCCGATCACATGACTAACACCTCTTCTCCACTTCTAATATTCACTCACTCGCATTCCACTCATGTCACTGTAGCTAATAGGCCCACTCAATGTGTCATGGTCCATATTACGTACGTTTCAGATTGAGTCTTCAAAATTCTCTTACTTCTTATCAGTTAGCAAACTTACAAATCCTTGAATTGTAGCAACTACTTTTCTCTAGATCATTGCATTTTTTAGAATTTTTCGACAAAGAGATCCTTGGTAGAGGGTGTGAATCTGATGGACTCCGTTTACTTGAAACTCTAGGACCACGATTTCTTGTTTGCTCTACCTCATCGTCGTTTGAGATGCATTATCAGTTCATTCATCCCTTCCAAGTTTTTAGGAAGATGTGTCCACAGTTTCATTCCCTTGTCTTCTTTATATTATGATTCGTGTGAGTTTGCAAAACATTCACGTATTCATTTAGGCCCCCTATGATTGACAAACGAGTTGCATACGTTCTAAGAAATTCTGTAACTTTCATTGATAATTATTCTTTTGTGTTACTTAGTTTATCTCATGAAAATTCATTCTGAAAATTCTCCACATTTCTCTTAATTTTGTGCTGAAATCAAGAACTTAGCACTTTTGGTCATACCCTGCAAAGTGATAATGCTAAACAATATTTTTCATCATTTACTCAATCTTGTATGTTTCAACATGGTATTTTGCACGAGTCTTCTTGTGCTGACACATGGCCCAACATAAGGAAGCTAAATGTAAGAATCAATAATATATTCTTGAAGCTGCATGAGCTCTAATGTTTGAAATCCAAGTTCCTAAAACATTTTTGGGATGGTTTTATCTCTATTGTGTTTTTTTATCAATCGCGCGCCTTTTGTGATTCTACAATGAGAAATTCCTTTTTTCCATCTTTTTCCCTCAAAAACTTCTTCATCCCTACTTTGGCAGCACATGTTTTGCTCACATGTTTTTTTCGGGACACCCGATCCCATTTTGACTAACTAGGAGACATATTCGCGAAGGGTGTAAACGGAGTACAACTTAGTAACATTTGTAATTAGCTGAGTATATCCAATGTATAAGCACCAGGGGAAGTATTAGAATATATTGTACATATATAGAATAGAGGCGTTAGGAAAGGTTAAGTATGCTCCATAATTATGGGATTTGAATACCATAATTAGTCTCATTCGTCTTATATAGGACCTTTAGTATCATTATTTTCTCAATGAAATATATGGGTTCCTTCAGACAGACAACAGTAACTAATAATATTAAACACATAAAACATATTAAGAATAAGTCTTGGAGGTAAGAGAGCTTGTACACAGTAAGAGGTTCAGGACAAATGTGCATCTTCTATCAAATGCACAATATCTCCAAAAATGATAGTCGAACTAACTAACAAAATACCTTGTGCACGTATATCGAAAGAGCAAGCTCATGTTGGTTCATCTTTCCCAATAGAATTGCTCGTTCTTCATATAAAGCATCTGCTGGAAGACGCTTCAACAAAACCTCAGGATTATATCCAGAGATGCTCTCCAAAGCAGACAAGAGTTTCTTCCTTGTGGGAGAATAAGTTTTCTCATCCCATTTTTGCTGAGAATTTAGATCCTTGTGCCAATCAAGCACTTCTGACAGATATATTTGCACCTACAACGATTTATCAAAGTAAATAAATAATTTAGATTTACACATCATGTTAATACACTAAGAATCCTGCTTAAAGTTAGTAATACCAAATATCAATAATGTATCACCAAGTTCCTTTAGTTACTGCACCATCTAAATATCATATTTCAGAAGTTTTGGTAATTTGCGTTTAATTGGATGGAGAAATAACAACACTATTTCACCAAATTTCTATAGCTATTTCAACATCTTCCACAGAACTTTTTCATAAATGCATCACCAACAACCACTAGGAACAGTTTAATAACTAGATCATCACCTTAACTTATACTATCTTAAAATGTAACAAGATGTAAATCCTTACCATTTCATTCTGGAGATTCCCAGAGATACTATTTTCGTTCATTGCAAGCATAAGTTCCAAATATGTAGTCTGCATATTTGGAGCATGTTGTTTTAGATAAGAATTGACCAAATCAGCTGGAACATTTCCGGACAAGAAGAGGTCAATAGTTTGTGTTGGGCAGCTCTCAAGAACAAGCATTGAAAACTCCAAGACAAGCATTGGATCAGTGCCACATAGGGGCTGAGAAAGACAAAAAAAAGTAGACAAAGCTAGTATAAGCCTACAGTAATATAAAGTCAAGACTGCTGCAGTAGAACCATGCTGCTTAACAGTGTAACATCTGCAGTAGCATGCAGGGTCTCAATTTTTGAACTTCTCAAGCAAGGCTCCTTTTGTTAATATAACTTATCTAATAGAACTTCCAAAAACAAAAGGACGATCCTATTAGCTCCTTATAAAAGGGGAAGTGGGCATAGTTTGAATCTCGTATTTTTCCGAATCAAGTAAATTTCTAGCGTCAAATATCCCTGGTGTGCAAGGGTAGTGGTCAACTGGTCATTTAATTTCAAACAATGTTTTTATGAATCTCAGGATATTACATAAATCATCCGTTTGAAGTAACAGATAGAAACAGATAATTAATACACTTCCGAGAGAATATACAGGATAACAAACTAACAAAGGTCCATCATCTATATGCTGCACTACCTTGTTACAACACTATCAAATTGGTGGCTGTAACAATAATGTTGGTCAACAAGAGCACTAAAGTTTCAAATGCATTATATCATAATATTTAGAAGGCCCACCAAAAGAAGAACAAATTAACAGATTAAGGTGTTTATAAAGAACCAGCATACAATGTAAATATTGTACGGTGAATATGTTCAAACAAGAGTGAAAAAAAAAATAGGTAAAATAATATCCAGGTGTCCACTTATTTGGTAATGAATCTTCAGAAGTTGGTAATTTTAATCGCAAAAGTTAAAAGCAAAGTTATCCAGATAAATAAAGATTATTTTTTTCTATGAACACTTTGGTTACATGTTTAGGAATAGATTTATAAAACCATAAATACAGTCTTGATGAAAAGGAGAGTTACTTTGAGATAATCAATAATCATTTCAGGCTTGAACTTCCGCATGAGCTCAGCTGGTGGACTACTTGAGTTTGACTCTTCAACTAACTTGTGTAGAAGCTCGAGTGCTTCACGGTGCATCGTGTTACATTTATAAAGTTCCAGTAGACAAACATACTGATTTCTTTCTTGCAAAAACTCCTCGCATATTCTTATGTCACAATAATTAAGACCTTTCAATAGTTCCAGAGCAGCAGAAGATTGTCCAGTCAATAGAAGAGCCTGAAGTAATGCCGTGTCAAGTATAGCTGCAGTGTCTCTAGCAACTGAGCTGATATACGTGTTGGTTCGACCCTATGAGATCCAGAAAAACCACAATCAGATGACCATCAAAACAATTGTTGTATCTACTGCTGAAAACAGAAATTAAATGGCTACCTGATACAGCCAGGAATGTTAAAACTCTATAAGAGTCAGTTAAAAAAATATTAAATTGGAGTACTTGTTACCCATTTGCTTTCATTTAGAACTCTGATGCATGAGACATATAAGGCGTTACAAGCATAATAGATTGCCGGCACACATATTCAGAATAAAGACACATTCCAGAGCCAACATGCAATACACACCTTTAATTACAAACAGTCGAACACTTGTTTGTGTGTGGGGCATTATAACACACAAGATACTTTAGTACCCTAAGAAAAGCTAATCTGTGGAAGAAAAACAAATTCCATGCACAAACCTTGAACAACAACTTATTTCCCGAGGTCATGATCCAAATTTACTAAAGTAAACTTCAGTTCAAACCCATACCAAATTCACCTTACCACAGCTCTGAAACCCATAGATAACTAATTTGTTTATTGTCTCAAAATCAAAATCCTAACCTTGTTTTGTTTCTTTGGCCGACTGCTACCATAAGAAACAAAATTATTTCCTACAGCATCTGAAACTGCCTCATCAGTTCCCTCCGCAGCAGCCTTTTCAACTATACCAAATCGCTTCCTCTGAAGGAACTTAATGAGAGCCATCAGAATGTTGTGGTTCATTTTCCTGGATTCAATATCCGCACTTTCTTCAGAATCCAATGCATGAGGAGGTGGAGATTCCATATCATCTGACATGCCAGAGGAACCTCTTGAGAGATCCAGAGCATCTCCACTGATATCCATATATTTCTCTGGTTCAGGTATAACAGATGATTTGGGAAGAATGATCGATGGATACAAAGAAAGAACGTAACTGATCTCCACCTGAGATGCCAAAAAATGTTCCATGGCCTCCTCATAGCTCCCATTTTCAAATAAATAGTGAGCGTATCTGTACAATGGAACGTCAAATTATTGGCATGTGCTAAGTTAGCATAGAACTAAAATCCCTTTTAGCAAAGCAGTAACGTGCCAACGTAGCCATTTTAATCCAACCAAGAAAAGGTATGATCTGTTTTCCAAAGTTATATAAGTGTAGGTTTTATTTATGCTCAAATCATATCTGAATATCTACATTTGATATGCTAAAGCAAAGAAGAAAACGAGATTAGAACATGGATACAAAAGTACCTAATATGAATTGATTGTTCTTTTGCAGCTCGAAGTTTTGAATCTTCAGAAGGGAGTAACTTGCACAAAGCCAATGCTTCCTCAAAATTGCCTGAAGCTGTTAGTTGTACAATCTGGATGATAAAAATATGGCATAGTCACTGCATTTGTAAAGGACAACAAATATCTGCTGCTAGGTCGATCATTCATGTCAAATATTGCAGCTGCTTCAAGAAGTTATTCCATGCTAAACTGTAATTTTGCATTTTACAAATGTATTTACCATCTTCATTTAGAAAAAGCTGTTACAGGATGTACTTCAAACTCACAATTTCCAGTAAGATCACATGAAAAGAATTTTCCGGTATATGATTCTATCTATTTATGTATTTCACCTTAACATTCGGATAAAGCTAAATCTTATATTACTTCATATCATAATTTTACAGACCATATTACTTCCACAATTAGCAACTCCGTAAATGAGCATACAAAGTCCTGATTCAATCTAATGATATATTACAGAATAAACCTTGAGATCTAAGAATGGCAAGACTGACATGATTATTAACACAAGACTTGCTTATGTCCTTACAAAACTGATGCGATGTCCATTACGAACTTTTAATTATATGGATGGGACCAAGATTTTTAAAGAAGGAACTATACCTGTGCGCCAAGAGGAACAGGAAACAAGCCGTAAATAGAGTTTTCTAGAGCAACAATGATAACATGGGTGCTTTGAAGTATCCGACGAACATTGCGGAGAACAACTGTTTGAATCAGTGGATACGGGTCACGAAGTGAACGTATCTGCCGGCCAGAATATAATTAGTTTACAACAGTAAAAATTTCTAATGCTATTTATTTAATCTACAGCAAAAAGTTAGGAGTAAATACTCATTTATGGTCAACACCTCAATGTGTCTTGGTAAGAGACCTATTGCATATGGCTTCTCTACAACAACTGCTGTAGGAGCCTCTGACCAGCAAATCCTGCCTTCCTGAAGAAGTTTCCCATTTTGATCGACAAACACACCAATATTGTCCTGAAGAAAATTGGAGACAAAAAAATTTGTCGGTTTCGAGGATCCACAAAGTTTTAGCAAGAAAAATGACAATTCTTTTACCAAGTGTTTGAAGCATCTAGTTCAATTAACCGTTAGGTATTGACATCTCTGTGACATCAGTTATGTATCAATGTATCAGTTTTTAGTAAAAGCTACGACGTTCTAGATTTGTTATAAAACGTTCAATGATTTTTATCTTCTCCCATGGTTTTGCTAGAAAAAACAGTAAGCAAGAATAAGGTCTGCCCAAATTGGTGATTTCCTATGCACCCAAAAACTAAAACCAGATTATAACGAAAAAATACGGGCCAAAAGGGTCATGAGCCTCTCTTAAATTAAGCAAGATTTAGTTTTGAGTAAGTGGTAAGCATAACATGCCAAGTGAGATTATTATGCAGCTAGAGCAAGAAAATAAATAAGTTACCTGAGTTAAGCTACACAAACATAATGGATGACAAACACTATGACATTACACACACATGGCAGGCTCGTGTGGGTTTACACATCACAGTATCTTTACAATCCACAACCTCTACGCTTACACAACATTTATGTCAAAAGATTAGCTTAAAGTAGTTTTTAAATTACCTTCCCTAGAAGAAGCTCCCCTGATGGAAGAGACACAACCAAAGGCGGGGCAATCCTCCCCGATGGAAATACCTCTGACAGTGCACCATTAGTTGAATTCAATATTACATACTCTCTTCGGATCCCCAAGCATATATTCTCACCACACCATGACATTGATTTAACAGTGTCTGGAACACCAAATTCTTTTACTTCCACAAACCCACGGCCCCCTAAACAAGCAGTAAACAGATTGTGAATCATATTTCCATACACCATTGAAAATCCCTCATTTTAAATTCTCAGCAACAACTAACATTCAGTTGTATCTTGATATTCAATAATGAAGAAACAATACTTGTGTAGTACAAAAGTGAATGGGTAATATCCATAATGCTGGGCAAGTAGAACCAACTCAGGAGGCATTAACAGAGGGAAGGTATATCCACAAATAGGATAACATAAAAATAGGGAAAGGCTCTGAGCAAGAAACAAATACTTCAACTCGACGAAAAGAAATACCATCATTCCTAAAAATAAACCTTCCTTCAAATTAAAACCTAATCCAACTACATTTCCCGGTGTATTCATTCTGAATTCTTAAAGACTTTTTGACACTTAAAGAATCCTGAGTTTCTAGAACTTTTAAAAGTACTGATAAAGTACTGGTGTATTCATTTGAGATTTCAAAAAGTGAGTAATGCTGCATACAATTTATTTATCCTGGCATCTCGTCTCTAGGCAGTCACGGAGTGAGTTGTGCTCCCAACATGCTGCCCTTAGATTGTTTTGGACTCTCTAAGACTTGCTGAGATTTAAAAAACAAAATACATATTGGCAATCACTCATCAATTCCCATTTGCATACTTAAAATTTCTAAGGATTCCAACTATTTTTTTTTTTTAAAAAAAAAGCCTCAAAATTTAGAAGGTCTTAAAATGTCACTTAAAGTCCTGAAAGTATACACCCTCCATTTTCGAATATACAAGTACTTACCGTCGTGTCTGAAAATACAAACCCTCTTCTGCCGTGCGAAGCACAAAAACCCTCGCCTCTCGTCCCAGCAGTAAGCGTTCGCGCCCTTGGCTTTCGTAATCACGGCCAGCGTCTCCAAATTGGGCAGCCGGTGAAAGGCGATGGACTCGGAGAGCGAGAGTAGCAGCTCCCGCGAGTTGAGGACCTCCATGGCGAGCATCGGCCTTTTGGAGAAGCCATTAATCGTCCGCTCCAAAACGTACGTCTCCTTCTTCAGCTCCGGGGGTTTGGAATACAATTCAGAGGGCGAGGTGGGAGATCGGGGATCACCAGCTGAGGACTCGGGGCCGTAGATTCGGAGGGAGCCATCTGAGCAGGATATGAGAAGATTGGAGCCGTACGATTCAATGGCGTCGACTCTGGTGGAGGAATTATTGATGAGTTGAAAGGAATCATATGCGCTGTGCACCATTTTCCTTTTTCTTTTCGGTGTTTTGGCTTTGGATGCCCGCAGATGAAATGTCGCAAGAAAAAAGAAGATGGGAAAGCGAATACGACGTCGTACTACAAATTTGTTAATTTTGATGCTGTTAAAAGTGTCTGATTTGGGGTAGAACGTCCGCTGTCCCGCGCTTTTTGTTGCAACTTACAACTTTGTAATGTAACATGGTGCTATTTTAAAAAAAACTAGTAGGTATCTTGCGATGCGCGACACAGAGGTATTAAATAAGTTGTTTTTATAGACAATGTCCGTTTAAGTCTAAAAAGTAATATAATATTATCTATTTTTTACCTTTTTTAATTAGCGTTAAGTTTAAAAAACAATAGGGTTATAATCTATTTTTCACTTCTAATCAGCGTTGTTTTTTTAGCCAAAACATTAAATATGAGCATGTTAGGCTAGTTTGTAAAATAATTAATATATTATCTCACTAACACATTTATACTAATATAAATTTAATTTGAGTATATATATTTATTCCTTTTTTTTATCGATAAAAATAAATTAATAGATCACAACTGTGGTTCGGACGACCGATAATCGGCATACAAAAGCGCAGCGGACAACCACAAGCTCGGTTCCTCACTCGCAAATAATAATACTATGAGGAAAACCACAGGTCGGTTGCTCACTTAGGTCTCTAATCGAGACACAAATGTAAAGAAGCAGTAGCGCATCTCATGCCCCCAATGCAAGAGATAAGCCTATCCAAGCCCAAGGCTTTTCCTCTCAAACTCGATAAATACATTCGGATACACCGCAAATATAGTACGATAACATGAGTTTTGGTCTTACGTACCACGAGGCTCGGAGGTTGAGATGCATTCTCGAAAACCAACCTATTCCTCGCATTCCAAATAAAGTACACGGTTGTCGCAAGCACCGCTTTCTTCATCTTGGTTTGCCAATTAGCCCCTCTAGCCTCCTTCTTAGTCCATTTAAAGGCCCCTTTGAGAGTCAATGGCCTATGACATAGGCAAATCCAATCACAAATCTCCCCCCATATTTCTAAACTAAATGGGCATTTGAAGAAAATGTGGCTCGATGATTCATCCACTCCACCGCAAAGGGAACAAGTCGGATCTACCTCGAGGAACTCTAACCGATCTTTTGTACGGAGACGATTGAGCACTCCTAGCCAAAGAATGAAGGAGTGCTTGGGAGTATTGCAAGGCCCCCAAACAACCCCCGTCCAACGCTTCAATGTACCACGGGGCCTTAGGAAGTCATAGCAACTTCTCGACCCGTCTTGTTTATCTCCTGAACTCCAACGACGAAGTAGGGCTTTCACGGCTTGCTCGCTACCCGCCTTCTCTACCAAGACACATCGGATCTCAAAAGAGATATTTGAAGAGAGGCGAGTCGTTCTTGTGAATTTCTCATTTCCACATGGACTTACCCTCCAAATAGGTGTTGTGGATCCACTTGTACCATAGGGTGTCCTTCTTGGCTTGCATGTTCCATAGAGTGCGTGCAAGTAGCGCTTGATTCCAAGCATTCAAATCTCGAAGCCTCAAGCCCCCTTCCGATCGCGGGAGACATATGTTATTCCAAGCAACGGGGCCAGTTTTCGAACCCCAAAGAAATCGCATACATAGTTGGACAATATTGGTGTGCACTATAGTAGACAAGTGGAATATCCCAAACCAAAAGCACTCAATACCTTGGATTACTGAGCGGATGAGTTCCACTTTACCGGCATATGAGAGTGTGTGGCTCTTCCAACCGCTAAGTTGAGCCTCGATTTGCTTGACCAAGCCCTCAAAGAGTCTAGCGGTGAATCGCTTCGCGGTGAGAGGGACTCCTAGATACTGAAAGGGCATTGGACCACATTGCAAGTGAGTCTCGTCGAGGATTGTTGTCCGGCTGTAATATTTTACTCCCGCCAAATAAATGTTGGATTTTTGAACATTCATTTCTAGCCCCAATTTAGCTTTAAAGTCTTTGAGGCAATTCATGAGGATTTGAATGGACGATGGGTCACCTCAAGAGAGAAGCATAAGATCATCGACAAAGGAAAGATGTGTGATTTTGAGATGCTCACACATGGGGTGGAACTTGAAGTTCGAGTCCTCCATCGTGTTGCACTTGATGAGTCTAGAAAGGTATTCGATGCATATCACAGAAAGGAAAGGTGAAATGGGGTCACCTTGCCTTAGTCCACCTTTGAAGTGACCCTTGAGGCTCCCGTTAATGGATAGTGAGTAGGATGAGGTTGTGACGCACTCCATGACCCGCCTCGTGAAGACTGAAGGGAAGCCAAGACCCTCGAGCACTTGCTTCAAGAACGACCAAGAAATAGAATCGAAGGCTTTCCGAAGATAAATTTTGATGGTAAATCTCGGGGAAACTCGTTTCCTCATGTATTTATGGAGCAATTGTTGCATGAGGTGGATGTTATCCGAGATATTTCTCCCTTTAACAAAAGCGGCTTGAGCCTCATCAATGATGGAGTCGAGGACTTCACTAACTCTCCGAGCAAGGATCTTGGAGCAAATTTTGTACGATGTATTGCAACACGCGATTGGTCTAAAGTTTGTCACAAACGAGGAGTGTGAGGACTTTGGCACAAGCGTAAGAGCGGTGTGATTTCATTGCTTGAGAAGGGACTCGGAGCAAAAAAATTCTTGAATTGCCGACACTACATCGGCCCCAACTATTTCCCAACTCTTCAAGAAGAAGGAGGAGGTATAGCCGTCTAAACCCGGGGATTTCCTACTGTCAATGTCATGAAGGGTGGCCTTGATGTCGGCTTCGATCACCGGGGCAAGAAGCGAAGCATAGTGCTTGTCAACAATGCGTGGGCCCGAGTTGAGAATGTTGGGGTCCACATTCTCCGTTTTAATGTCGGTACCCAAGAGGGACTCATAATAGCCTACAAACTCCTTAGCAACTTCATCAAGGGAATCGGTCACAGATCCATCTCCCCGGTTAATTGAGACTATTAAAATACGCTTCGATCTCTTCTTGACCAAGGCATGGTAGAACTTGGTGCACTTGTTGTAATAGCCCAGTTCTGTATTAATAAAAATGACAGTTTTTAGTTCCAAGTTGAACTATTTCTTTTATTAATACTGCTCACCTTGAGTTCCGAGCCCAGTTATCAGCTATTCAATCTCAGTTATTAATTCCGGTCCATTTATTTTAGTAATGGATTTTACTCAGTCAGGATTAATTATTTCAGTTGACGAATAATCAAAACCGAGTATGTTTCGATAAATCGTCTAAGTCTAGCCGTGTCCGGAACCGAGTCGTTCGGTCGCGAGTATCGCGCCTAGTTCGCGCCTAGCCAATTCTCGAGCCCTAGTAGTCTCGAGTTTTATTCGAGCCCTAGCCATGCTCATAGTCTTATTTAGAATATTTTCTAAGTATGAGATCATTTATCGAGCTCTAGTCCCAGTCACTCGGTCGAGAGGAACCATGCACCGAGCTCGTGCAAAGGTTCGAGTCCTCGCGCCCAAGGTTGCGCCCTTCACCGAGTGCGAGTGCTCCTTTCATGGCCAAACACTTATGAAAATTTCTCTAAGTGTTGAGGCATCCATTTTAGCATTTGCCTAAGTCCTAGCCTCGGCCTAAGCATATGCCGAGCCCACGCAATGCGCCCAACGGGCCGCGCCTAAGCCGCGCGAGTCCGTGCATGTGCCCAAGCTTTGGCCACGTCTTTTCAAGGAATTTTTCTAAGTGTTTATAACACTTTTGTTCAGCCTCAATTCAGCCATGACTTAGCATTTATTTCGGCCTAAGTGTAGCCTTCAGCCCGCGCGAGTATGCCGCGCCCAGCCCAGCCGTGCCGCGCACCTAGCCCACTTGCGAATGGCTTCCAAGCCCAAGTGATGAATTATTTCCGAGCCCAATCTTTTGGCCCAAGTCTTACGGTTATTCAGGTGGATTAAGGGAGTAATTTGAGCTTAAGTAACCCCTAAGATGGATTAAGGAAAGTCATAGTGGGATTAGACATATAGTGGAGCATGGGCTTAATATTATATTGGACTCATGTCATACCTTGTCCCCTCCACTATCATGCACATGTCCAGAATCTTTCTCCACCCTACATGCCCTGCCAAACCATCAGGATTCCCTCCAATTTTCCGTGCAAAGCCTGCCCCTAACTCCACTATGCCACGCCCAAGACCCCATGCGAGTGGGTGTGGACTTTGTCCCCCATTTTCTCCCCTTGGTTGCTCCGTCCATGAGTCCTATTTAAAGGACACTTCTCTGAGTTGTTCCAGCTCTTGGACACTTAGAACTCTTCAGCATATTGGGAGAGGTTGAGAGAAAACCGAGCCTAAGTCCTCAGTCTAGCCGCGCGCGCGCATCACGCCCGAGTGGAAGGAGAGCTCGCATTCACCTTGCTCCAACCGAGGTCTCTTGTGATTTATCACTATCCAATTATTATTTGGATTTTTATAAGTCACTTGAGCCTATCAACCTCAGCGATTGAGCCCCATAGCCGAGGCCAAGTCCACAAGCCGCGAATGAACCCGAGAAGGTTCACTAAGCACTATTCTTGAGTTCGAGCAAGGTAACCTCGTGACTCTTATTTTTTCCTAGCCTTTACATGATATTTGGGAATTATCATGAAGGAAATTCCATGCATGCACATGTTTTAGAGCAAGTTTCGAATTTATGGATTTATGAGCCCTAATTTCGGAAATGGAGTTGCATGCATGATATGGCCGAGAGTAATGGCTTAAAAATCCTCAAAAATCATTTGTATAACATTGGTAAAAGATTAGCATGCATGCTTTGAGTTCATTTGTTCGGTCAATTTGTTAAGTGAAATCGAGCCATTTTCACCCCCGAACCTAAGTATATGTGCATGCATGTTTTGACCAATGTACTAGCCTCATTAGCCATGATTTTTGATGTATATTATTCGGCCCTAAGTCAAATTGCATGTTTAGAATGTTCAATTTGGTGACCTAGTGTGGCCTCGTGCCTAATCGGCCCTATAAGCCCACCTCCTTAACCAACCGAGGTCTATCATTGACTTGTGACATGTTTGAGTATATTTTATCATATTATGTTAGTTTGGTTCAGTAGTCACCGGA